CTATGTATTTCAAAACAGCTTATGATATTAGGAATTTTTTTAACAATTGGAGCAGCAACATAAAATTAAAAACAATTGGAGCATGGGGCTGGGGATTTAGCTCAGCGGCAAAAGCGCCTGCCTGGCAAGCGCAAGGTCGTGAGTTCGGTTCCCGGTACCGGAGAAAAACCAAAAAAAAAAAAACAATTGGAGCAGCATTTCTTTAATTATCTGGGTCAGGTGACGAATCAACTAGGCTATCCTTATTATTATTTTATTTCCTTTATATTCTCTCTTGAATATTGTATAGTATTACAATTCTTCTAAGCATTTCTCTATTTAACTTATATTTTTCAAATTTACTAGTATAAAGCCTGGGGATCTAGCATAATAATAGATTGTGTGCTGAGCAAGGACAAGGCCCTGGGTTTGGTTCCCTCTCACCTCAAAAAACTTACTGGTATAGAAAAAGTATATTTACCCAAATATTCTTAATTGAGTTCATCATTTGCTTTACTCATCATTTCTGAATTTTAAAATAATTTTGATTAGATTTTAAAAACCAGCAATTTTGTGTTTATTTATTGAGACAGGCTCTTGCTATGCAGTCCAGGCTGTTTCTCCTGTCTCAGTCTCGAGTGCTGGGATTACAGACACACTTGGTGTTATGGTTTGTGTCTGGGTGTCCCTCCACAAAGCCTCATGCAGTCATGTGACTGCTTCTGGAGTTTATGATTGATCTATAGCCAGTGTTGGAATTATGGATGTGAGTGCTACACCCACCCCAGGGTGAATAGTTTGCATGTGTAAGGGACAGAAAGAGGCTGCTTGCCACCACTCCTCCCCTGTGCGCTTGCTGCTTTTGCTGTCTTCTGCTGCCATGAACAGTTGCCCTCTGCCATGTGCCACCCTGCCTTGGAGCCAGCCAAGTATGGACTGAAACCTCCACAGACTGTGAGCTAAATAAACCTTTCCTTCCTTAATTTTGGGTGTCAGGCATTTTGTCTCAGCAACGAGAGAAAAGTAACCAAGACACCTGGCTCCAGCAATTCTTTTTTTAAAATTTATTTTTAAAATTTATGTTTTTTTTCCAGCAATTCTTTATGTACAATTTTCAATACCCTTTTAATATACTATTTGTTGTCTTGGTGCTCTAAAATGCATTTTCAAGCTTTTTTTTGGTACTGGGAATCAAACTCAGGACCTTGTGCTTGCCAGGCAGGTGCTTGTGCCTGAGCTATATCCCCGGCCCCATCTAAAATGCATTTTCAATTTTCATACAGATTTAATGAAATACCCTTACTCATTTAAAAGAAAACAGCTCTTCCTACTGTTTTCCTCGGTTAAGAGATTAATGCTACTTGTTACCATCATACATAATTTATATATAAAGAATCAGAGTTCCATTTTTGTTAGCAAAACCTGCATATAGTTCATGACTCTCAAAATTCAGTAGTTTCTTACAGGCAATAAAAATAGTAAGTGTTCAATACAAAACATTGAGTTAGGCCGTAAATATCAAGGATCAATTCTCTAGGCTTCCTTGCTCTTGTCTGGGTAAGAAGTTTCCTTCTTTTGGACCAAAAGAGAGCATATTATGGTAAAGTAAATACGGACTTTCACTTGGGACACTGCTAGTTATGTGCACTTGAGCAAGTAGCTAGTTATTGAGTATCTGCTAGCAACCATGGACTAGACACTAGATTGAGTGAGGGTTATACCCTGGCCTCGCTTCTATCCTGTCCCTGGACAGAGGCATAAGTTATCATTCTGCTTCTCCTATTGCCAACTGGGTAAATAGCGCATGTCAGCGAAGTACTGTAAACCTCAGTTACCTGTGAGATGCAAGAATAATGCCTACCTCACAGGGTGGTTGCAAGAATTAAATGTTAGAAATGCTTATGTAAAATACCTAGTACATAATAGGCAAATAACAACTGTTAATTCCTTTTCTTTCTCTTTGCATATAACCTCACAAAAATAAATGTCTTATCTTGAGGCAGTAATAATAGTGTCCTTTTAGTTTTTATAGCACATCCAAATAATCAATTACTATAAATACTAAGTCTTCAAATTATTAGCATGTGGTTTTCTGTCTTAGCACCTCTGAGATCTTGGGCTGAATAATGTTCTGACAGTTGGGGCTGTCCTGTGCACAGCAGGATTTAAGCTACATCCTTGGCTCCCCTACCCTGCCATGCTGGTAGCAGCACTCTGGGTATAAACATCCACAATGTTTCTAGACAACACCAACTGTTTCTTCAGGGTCAAAAATCCACTCCTTCCCACGCTGGTGAGAATCAGAGCATTAGTGAATCATAAACTCCATTTAGTGCTTCTTGAGCATTAAAAAAGAAAAAAAAAATTAAAAGGCATAGATTTGCTATGGGCTGAATTGTATTCCTTCTTCCCCAATTCAAATGCAGATCTAACCTCCAACATGACTGTATTTGGAGGTAGGTTCTTCAGGAGATAATAAACGTTAAAAGTGGTCACAAGGGTGGGGCCCCACTCTCATAGCACTGTGTCCTTATCTGAGGAAAAGCTTTTTCTCTCTGCCATGTAAGGACACAGCACGGTGGCCTTTGACAAACCAGAAAGAGCGCTTTCACCAGGAACCCAATCAGCTCGCACCTAGATCTTGGACTTTGTTACCTTTGTGATCTTAGACTGCAGCTTAAACTGTCCAGTTTGCAGTTTTTTTGCATGGCAGCCCAAGCTAATACAGAACTTTGTTTCCATAAAATAGAACATCCTAGAAAGCATCAGAGCTATCTAGGTATTTACTTACTGCTATAAATTTCTTACTACAAGTTGGTCAAAAGTTTGAAAAGACATCCCAGTACTCTGGGCAGCAGAAGCTGGAAGATCACAAGTTTGAGCCCAGGATGGTGAGTTTGGTGGCTTAGCAAGACCCTGCCTCAAAATAAAATATAAACAATGGGCTAGCAATGTATTTCAGTGTGAGGGTCTTGGGTTCAAAACAAAAAAACAAAAAAACAAAAAACCCCACAGTACCACAAAGAAAAGGTAGACGCAAAGGAAATTCTCCTGCCGTTTTGCAAAGATCTCCTGTAGGGTCCAAAAAGGTAGACGCAAAGGAAATTCTCCTGCCGTTTTGCAAAGATCTCCTGTAGGGTCCAAAAAGGTAGACGCAAAGGAAATTCTCCTGCCGTTTTGCAAAGATCTCCTGTAGGCAGCATCTGGGTTAGAGTCTTCGGTGGTATCCAGTCATCAAGATTTAGTATCAGAATGTTAGGTGGAACATTAAAACTTTTCTACACTGGCTTGCTCACCTTGGTACAGCCATAGCTATCAATGAAATGAATAACTAAGTGAACACAGACTAGACCATTTCTGGCAATTTTCAATCAGCCAGATCTCTGATCACCTTTAGTCCAACCGCTGCTCCCTTTGTCGGGAATCCTTCTCTCCTACCCCGCACTCACTTCTAGAATCAGCTCGATTGTTCTCGGGAGAACATCTTCCACCACTAACACAGGCTTATTTGTTCCTCTGTTACCTGTTCTAATTTGTTTCCTGACGTCCCCTGTAACTCTGCATCCTTTCTACTATTAATACCTGTTGAGTGATTGCGAGGAAAACAAGCCACTTACTGCCACTAAGGAAGCAAGAGAATGTTGTTTTCAAGCTGAGGGAAAAACAATCTCCTTACTATGGTCTAAAGGGATTTTTTTTTTTCTGGAGAGCACGTGAGCGGAAGGCTCCAGCTCCCGCGGTGACAGGCCACCACCCTGCGGAGCCGTTGTGCACTGCAGGCGCTCACCGTCCCAGAGCCAAACTCCCAGAACAAAGGCAGCCCCACCGCTCAGCCCGGAGCATGCGCTGTCCCCGCCTGCCATTCGTCTGCGTCCTCCGCTTCCCAAAGACAGGGGTCATTGTGGACCCTTGCCGAACCCACGGCTTCCCAGGACCTGCCTGTGAAAATTCTCTCGGTGCGCTGGAGAGAAAAGCACCCAACTGTTTGTGTTTTTATCCGGGACTCCAGGTGATTTTCGCTGTGGAAGTCTGGGAAACCAACCACCTTCGTTTCAGTCCCCAGAATCCCGGTTTTTTCCCAGCGCCTCTGCCCGGGGATTAAGTCTGGAACGTCATTGTGCGGCGCTCCCGGGTTCCCCGCTTGGAGCTGGACGGACAAGACCGGTCCCCGACAGCGCGCAGGAGGGCGTGGGGTGCCGCTCCGTTCGCAGGGCTGTCAGACGAGGTCAGAGCGAGGCGACCGGCGGGGACAGACGCAAGGGGCAGGGCGAAGAGAGCCGGAAAAGCGCAGGGCCGGCATGTTCTTCCCGTTTTCACTAAGTCGCAGCTCGCACCGCAGAAGGCGGTGGGCCAGAGTCTCTCGTCTTCCTCCCTCCGGTTCTGGGGGGCTCATCAGGGCAAAAGGGCTCTGACCCGGAGGAACATCTGAAAACTTTTAAAGAAAAAGTTTCAGCCACTCACGACCTTATTAGGTCTGACTGTGCCAAAATCATAGCGGGCGCCTGACTAAGGGACCTTAGGGCATCACGACGTCCCCAGCGCGTGGAAGGGGCTGGACTCCACATCCGGCTAGGTACATAGACTCACACACTGCGCATGCTCGCTACATCCCGCGGCCGCCCGACTCTGGGGGCGGGACGAGCGCCTGTTACGTGAGCCCGGCGTCCCTCTTCGCGATTTCCCTACAAGGACTTGGGCTACGAGGCCCCGCCCCTCCCCAGGCCCTGGAATGTGCCGAGAGGCCGAACCACAGGACAGACGCAACCATCTGCGGAAAGCAAGGGGGGCAGGGGAAGACTTAAAGTGGAAGAAGCGATATAAAAAAGACGGAGACTCAGTAATCAAACACAAAGAACTGCCACAGTTTCTGTCATGTTATTTTCCGTCCGCTTATACCCTTATCTTGTGCAGTATTTCAATACTGCGCCCTCTGACCACAGTGGCAGATCCCCTCCAGGTCGCCTCCCATGAACCCGGCCAACTCTCCCGGCCGTCCGGGGTGACTGGGCTTCCTTCCGGTGTGCTAGGAGTGACCGGAAGTGCTGGCTTTTAGCGGCTCTAAGAGTGAAGGGGTGAAGATAGAGGCGGCAGCGAGGGGTCTGCTGAGGTCCTCTGGTTCTCGCGGCTGTGCTGGGTGAGTGGTGGTCTCGGTCGCCATCCCCGGGACCCTTTTCCGCAGGGCGGGGGGCGCACCCAGGCCGGTGTTGAGCCCTAGGGCGGCTGTAGGATCGAAGGCTGCGGCCACAAGTGGCCCAGACGCAGACTTCGCTCCTGTGTTCGAAGTGGGAGCTCGGAAATGGGGCTTAGCTCGCTGACGCCTTAAGCTTGGGCGACTGCCGGGCCCGCGAAACCCGAGCCCCCCAGAACTGACTCCGGGACTATGTTTAGTTTCTAACGTAAACTTGTCCGATTCCAGGGGGTTTGCGCCAAAACCGGAGCTGCAGCTGTTGTTGCAGCTGTTCGATTACGTTTAGTAGCAATAGCCAACTCAAACTTGAGCTCAGGACCCCTCCTGGAACTAGAACTTTTAAAAGTGGTATTTCAACGGAGAGGAGTTGGAGGTTTAGTTTGCGGCTGGAGGGAAAACTACAAAATAAAATAGCATTTTTCTTTCGGATGGAGACTTTGAGTGAAATCAATTTCCCAAAGAAGTGTTTACTTCTAATGTAGTTTAGCAGATATATAAAAATATATGTCAGTTCTTTCAAACCTTTCCGCTCAGGGGTCGGTTGTGTGGTCGGAGGCTGCGGCCGCAAGTGGCCCAGACGCAAACTGGCCACTAAAATGGGTTTAGATTTTAACTTCTTAAATGCAGTATTGTATCTAACAGTGGGAAAAGAGAGTATTCATTAAAATTGCTGGTGTGTGTTTGGTGCTCTGGAAGGCCTTTGATACGTTGACCAGAAAAGCATATTTTATTTTCAAAAGCATGGTGTTATTGTCAAGTCAGCCCTGGCAGCTGTCTTTGTGAAGTGGTTAAGAACTTTTGGGTGTGGCAGTTTTAGAGAACTAATCCGACTTTCAACCGGAAATTTGCAACAACAACAATAAAAAGATTAGTCGGAACGGAAGCCTTAACTTGAAAGAAATACTTTTAAAAAACTGTATGGTAACACAGAAGTCTCTAAGCTTGAAAAAGAATGCATTGATTAAATGAGATGTAGACTTGATCTAAATTTGGAAGGCAAAATAACGAGGTACTAGCACACTACACAGTTCTCGGATGGGAGTTTTTCAAGGCTATATCTTATTACCCAGTGTATTTTCAATATAAGTATTCTGTAAAAGAAAAGTCTATAGGTTATTTTACATTTATAACCATGTTGTAAATGTTGGACTCTTAATATTTTAGTTAAAGCAATTTAATATATACATTAGTATGGGGCTGGGGATTTAGCTCAGCGGCTCAGCACCTTGCCTGGCAAGCGCAACGTAGTGAGTTCGATTCCTGGTACCGGAAAAGAAAAACAAAAACAAAATAATAATATATACATTAGTATGGACTGGTTCCATTTTAATAGGTTTTTCGAAATCTCTAGATATCACAGTTCCTAGACATTCTTGCATTTCTTCATCTCAGAATTCTTCTGGTTGCCCCTGGCTTGTGGAGAAACCTGCTTTGGTGATCTCTGCCTTCTATTTCTTCCTATCTTAATCTAGTCTAACATCTTCTGAGGTATGTTTCTTATATCTTCTTTTGTTTTAGCCTTTAATGATTATCCTAGAGCTCTTAAAACACACACACACACACACACAAATACAAATTCATTGCCACTAGCACTCCCTGCCCTGACTTAAAATGCACCTATGCTCCTGTAACCTGAATCTGCTTGTTCTTGCTCAACAGCCCTTCATTTATTTTCTCACGCATCGAAATACTCATACATTGTTTAGTGGCTGCTCTGCAAAATCTCTTACTTTTTAAGTTTCACAGAGCAAATAACCCTGGCACACCAAAGATCTTTCATTAAGTGTTTCCAAAATAAAGACTCAACTTTACAAGTGAGGATTCTTCTAATTTGGTGATCTCAGGCATTAACCTGGTTATCTTCTCAGCCATCCTAAATAAAGAATACATACACTGATGTGTGAAAGAGTTTCAAATTTATTTTTCTCTGACTTTTTAAACCAACACAAATTCTGCGTTTGCAGAAGGCTTGTTATGTGAGGAGTTACAGCCACCTTTGTTTGGGTGGGGTGGTGATATGGGTAGCGAAGAATCAGCAAAGAGCCACTGACAGTATTGAGATGATCTTGAAATCACAGTGCTGTTCCTGATTTGATTCTCGCTGCCCACATTTATGTCATCCATACTTTCAGTTTGGTGGGGAAAAAAATAAATGACAGTTTCCTTATTTTGGAACAACTGACCATGATACTGGACTCCTGTTGCTGCAAGGGTTCTAGGTTTCTGTTGGAGATAAATCAGAGATCAGAATCCATTCTCCTGAAAAAGTAAGGCCCAGGTTTGACTTGCCCAAATTATACTGTCAGATAGTAGAATTAACTACCTTAATTGGTAAAATTGATTAACATCTGAATCGCTCTTTTTTTTTTATTTTTGTCTTTTTGAGACAGGGTCTCGCTATGCAGTTCAGGCTGACCTTGAGCTCACTTTGTAGCCTAGGCGGGCCTTGAACTCACAACGATCGTCCTGCCTCAGCCTCTTGAGTGCTGGGATTACAAGCGTGGGCCTCCATGCCTAGCCTAACATCTGAATCTCTTGATTCTAAAGATACTTAGCTTCCAACTGATACTGCATAGGGTTTTTCAAAGTACCTGTCCCCAGAATATTTTAGAAATACTGGACACAAAAAAAAAAAAAAAAAGAAATACTGGACACAGAATCTTTAGTGAGCTCATATTTGCTAATCTGCCACTTTATCAGTTTTCATTATTGTCACACACTTTAGTCATATCTCTGGAATGAAAACTATGTGACTCATTTCATAAGTTGAATCAATCATTGCCTTTCTTTATAGTTGTCTCTCTGTCTATATTTTAAGGTCCTGTAAGATAGGACACATGTCTTACATAGCTTACCCTTAACTAGTGGTCAAAACTAATGACATTTGATACACATTAGTGTAATTAGCTGATCATCATAAGGTAGATACGACTAAGTATTGAATGACCTAAAGTTCTGTGTGAGGCTGTTTCCTGGGCTGACCAAAAACAGAGAGCAGCAACAGTCCTTTTGAATGATTATACTGTGCATTTATACGTTTGAAAAATGCGTGATTGGGGGTAGGGATGTAGCTCAGTGGTAAAGTGCTTGCCTAGGTTTTGCAAGGTGCTGGGTTCAGTCCTCAGCACTGCCTTCCTCCCTACCCCAAAAAGCATGATTAGAAGACTAAAAAACATACCAGAAGTTTAATATACATCTCTACAATCCAAACGAAGCATTTTTAAAAGGTACCTTTTAGGACCCTGGCCCCACCAAATTGAGTTACGTGTGTGTTAAAAAATCAGTTAGTGGTCATTTGACCTGTAGTTCTCATCAGTTTCTTTGTTCTTAAAATAACTGATATTTCTGCATCCTGGGGGAAGACAATGTTGGCATACAGAGCAGACTATTTTTAAAGATGTGCTTTGGCTTGCAGAGGCATGACATGCTTAAAATATTAAAGAGATACAATGTGCCCCTCCTTGGGTCTTCACCACTCACTCCAAATCAAGTACTTTTGAGAGACAGAGGAATAGTATGTTCCATAACACCTTGTGGGGTTTTTAACATTTGCCATAAGAAGGAACATACAACTTTGTATCATTTAATAGACGACACACACCCCGCAGGAGGTATTCCACAATGAAAGACATTCATGAATGGCTTGGTGGGTCATGAAAAGCAGTCTCTGACAGAATGATTAAAAGAATCAGAGAAATTCAGGAGTGTATCATTCCTGTGCCGCATATGGTATATCTTTTCAATAACATCCCAGTGTGTGGCCAAAGAGTGCTTTCTTGGACAGACTAGAATTTGTGACTGCCTTGTCTGGAATTTCTTACTAAAATAAAGTAGGAGAACGGATTTAGCAAAAATAATTTGAATGAAGCTTTTCTAATTATTTCTATAATTGAATTTAGACTGAATGATGTCTAGTCAAGAAAAGGATATAAGAAACCGCTTTTGAACTCATAGGAAACATTCTTTGCTGAGGGCCACTACGAGTGCTGAGATCGAGATAGTAGCTCATTCTTTGCAGTCCACAGATTTATTTTTAGAGCAAGGGCATAGTGTTTGGCCACATCATAGCTAAATGTTGTTTTCAGAACATAAGCTTTAAAGTTGTTGTCCTGGTCAGAGAGTGAAGTCAGTAGTGCCTATTTTAGACCTGCTTGAAGAATATAACTCAATACAGTGTCACCCTCGCTGGTCAGAGGTTCGCAGTCTCTCATCTCTACCTCAGCTCTGAAGGATGGTACGGTAGAATTTTACTATCTCCTCACTATCAGATTTTAAGTTTCATACAGAATTTTATATAGTCTTTTAAAAAGTAAATGTCGAAAGGGAAATTGCCTTTCACTTTATGTATTCTTAGACATTTTTAACTATTAATTTAAAATGTACCAGAATAAATTTAGGTAATCTGAAAATAAAACTCATTTCTGTACCTATGTAACATGTTCTCTAAAGCTTTTTAAACTAAATTGTTTTTAAAACTTATGTTCGGATTTGTTTAGAGGAATCAGTTACGTCAAGTGATTTGATGTGGCTCTAGTACAGGAAACTGATTTGGATAAAATACGGCATCTGCCGGATGTAATTATAGATGGATTGGCTTCAGGTTTCTATACTTTTCCATTGGGCTTTCAACAAAAGGTGTCTTAGGGCTGGGGATTTAGCTCAGCGGCAAAAGCACCTGCCTGGCAAGCGCAAGGTCGTGAGTTCGGTTCCTGGTACTGGAGAAAAACCAAAAAAAAACAAAAAAAAAAACCCAAAAGGTGTCTTGACTGACTTTGAACCTAAAAGTGAAGGTATGATGGGGAAGGTTAGTTGAATGTGGAAGGATAGTACTTGTTGGTAGTGATGAGAAACCGCTCTGTCGTCTTCCTCCTTCCTCCTGTCCGCCTTACTAGGATGGCTGGCTTAGGCAGGGATACAGACGGCGGACCTTCAAAGATGAATGAGTGTTTCCGAGCTCCCCGTAGTGCTGAAGTGTAGCCTCCCAGGTCCCTGAGTTTGGTTCTTGCTTTTTCACTGTTACTAACGCAGTCAGTGGATTTAGTTATGAGCTGTCAGGCAACTGTTTTACACAGGATGAGGGTTGTGTGATCTTATTCATATACTATGAGCTTTGCATTGTTGGTTATTTAGCAATGGGCTATTTATAAAAATTTCACAATTTTAAGGCTGAGTGAGCTGAAAATACAAGTCTGATTTTTTTTTTTTCCCTTTTAGTTTGGTCCTTTGAGTAATGGATTCCGATTAGTGGAGAGATTATTTATAAAGTGGTATTATCCTGCAAAAAAAAGGCTCTTTAACTACCTCATACATATCAGGAATCAGTGTTGTTTCTGTTTACTTTTGTTGATCAGTGTTTTCATTCAACCTTAAATAATCTTAGATACTAATTTTATTTTCCTTGTGTTCCTTTCTTTTTAAGAATTCAACTGCCACCATGTCGAGCAAAAGGGCAAAGACCAAGGCCACCAAGAAGCGCCCTCAGCGCGCGACGTCCAACGTGTTCGCCATGTTCGACCAGTCACAGATTCAGGAGTTCAAGGAGGCGTTCAACATGATCGACCAGAACAGAGACGGCTTCATCGACAAGGAGGACCTGCACGACATGCTGGCCTCGCTTGGTAACGCTCAGTTCTAATGTGAATATGCTGGGTAGTTTCTCCACGGGGCCTCTCATGTTTATTTCATCAGTCTGAAAGCCCCGTGAAGCCAGTGTAAGGAGTCTGTTAACATTCAGATGAAGTGTGGAGCGTTGTTTCCCGCAGGGACACAGCGGATCCCAGTATCTGTCTCCTTCTCTCTGGGTGTTGAGCTGTGTGTCATTCTGATGTGGGTCTGTACATGTGTCCGTGTGTGATTTCAGTATGAAAGCAGTAATGCTCCTTCTAACATCCCAATGGAATATCATACTGTCTCCACACTTTTAATATAGACTCTATTTGTTGAGAAGACCTTTTTCCAAGTAGTTTTACACCAGGGAAACTATACCAATTATCATTTCTTGACAAAATGTTTGCTGTGGTTAACAGCTAAAGTTACGACCCTTTGTTTCATTCAGGAAAAAACCCAACTGATGACTACCTGGACGCCATGATGAACGAGGCGCCGGGCCCCATCAACTTCACCATGTTCCTCACCATGTTCGGGGAGAAGCTCAACGGCACGGACCCCGAGGACGTCATCCGGAACGCCTTCGCCTGCTTTGATGAGGAGGCCACAGGTAAGGCAGAGGTGACCTTTAATTACAGAGTAACTTAATTTTTAGTTACGGTAACTGAAAGGTACAGTAGTATAACATACTCTAATGTAACACCCTCAGGCTTAGACTCTGCCTGCTCTTTCGACAGGAATCCCCTCTGGGCTGTTCATCATTCCTGTCCCTGCCTCTGTCCGTAAATACTAGCAGTTTATAAAATTGCATGGGTTCTATTTGAAACCTCTTTGTGAAACTTAGATTATTCCTTTACTGGAAGGTTAATTCTACAGGGATTAGGCTCTCACAAAGTGTGTGTTGAGCCCCAGATATGGTGGTGCACGCCTGTAATCTCAGCGCTTAACAGGGCTGAGGGAGGCGGATCACCTGTAAGTTCAAGACCAGCTTGGGCTACATGGAAAGACCCAGTCTCGGAAAAAAATCCCACAGATGTGTTAAATGATAGCTTTTACCAGAGCCAGCTTGGACAGAGTGTAAATTGCTATCAACTGTGGTACCGGTACAGTTCTGTACTTGCTCAACAGGTATCTGTGAGCAACTTTAAAACTTAATTTAAAACTTTAAATTTGCTCTCTGACCTCTATTTTAAAATAAACCAAGCAGAGTGTAGGCGCTGGAGTCAAGGCTACATGCGTTCAGATTCCCTTCTGCTACTGAACAGCTGTGTAATTTTGGGCAAGTTAAAGTCGCCAAGCCTTTGTTTCTTCATTTGTGAAATAGGCATAATACTATTTATCTCATAGGGTTGTTGTGAGAATGAAAGAGAAACTGAGATAATGTCTAAAGGCTTAGCATACTCCTTGGCATTTCCTTAATGCTCACAAAAACAAAACGTTAACTGCATAACTACCCTTACGCAGAAGTGTAAATAAGAGAAAAGACATAAGGGAATGATTTCTAAGGCTCTCCATTCACGTGGCTTAGCCAAATGTTTTTAGAAACAGAAAGCCTGCCAGGCATGGTGGCGCAAGCCTGTAATCCCAGCTCTCAGGAGGCTGAGGCAGGAAGATCACCGTGAGTTTGAGGCTGGCCTGGAGTACATAGTGAGTTCAAAGCCAGTCTGAACTACATAGTGAGACACTATCTCAAAAAAAAAAAAAAAAAAAAGATGAAGGCCTGCCTGGTTATCTGCATCCCTTGGACCAGTTTCAGTACTGTGTGGTTGGAGCCTCCGATGCTGGTGTAGACCCGCCTTGGCTCCCGCAGCAGAACCACATTCTGGCTTTATAGTCATTGCTCTCAGCTCTTGGTCATTTCCCTGATTTCCAGACACCACCATGCATCGCTGTGCTGACTTGTGCCATCTTTTTCCTCTCTGCCTTTCTCACTGTCCTGCCTCCTCTGTCTCCTTTTACACGCAGAACCTTTCATTTGTTTCCAGGAAGAGCAAGTGGAGGAAGAACAGGCAGAAGAGACTTCCTCCTCTTGCTCCTCTGAAGAGCTTGTCTGTTGCTGGTGTGCTTTACTCCGGGCCCGTCTCCCTTTTTAAATGGAAGAGAACAAGCAGTCTCTGCTGCTGTTTAGCCTGTCACCCTTTATGGAGCCTTGTCTATGATTCTTACCACTTTCTCCTGGCTCCCAGGGAGGCAAAAGGCTTTCCCATTGTCTTCATGTACCAAGTGTTTTATTTGTGTCTCTCTCCTGGCACGTTCACTGTTTGACTTTATGTTTATGGTACACATTTCCAGCTACCACGATTTCTTCCCATTCCAGTGGGTGCTTGTGTTGACTAGCATTTTGTTCTCATCTTTGTAACCGTTTCTGGCACCTACCACCATCCCTTGCCACAATAGATAATTAATTTATGTAACAGTTGAATGACTTGCCTAGAGATGAGGATTTATTACTATAAAGCTAAAATTCTAAGATTGGAGGTGCATTTTATAAAATTCAGGGATTGAATCAGCAAAATCCCCACAAATCTCGTTTCTTTCCTTTTCTTCTTCAGACTCACTTGGTAGGAAATATACTGTCAGTGTATTAGCTTAATTCCACATGCAAGGAAACTGTCAGTTTTCATTGTCTGCTGTATGAATCTTAGGGATGTGTAGTTCAGTGATTACCACCTGCAGTAACTGGTGCTTATCATAGAGCACGTGAGTTGCTTGGGGAGCCTTGGAAATGCCAATACCAGATGATAAATCAGGTGACATTCGGGCTTCTGTTTCTGTAAGTACTTACATTTATTCTTTTAGGCAAGCAGGTTCATGAGAACCTCAGTACAGAAAACGCAGAGAACAAAACGACACTTCTTGGCTCGCTGCTGCGTATCCCCACTGCTTAGTACCGTGTCAGTGACACAGTCGGTACCCGAGTGTTACTGCATGTGGGAGGCCGGGCCATATTTGTTACCATATGTCAGATTTGTCTGTGTTTAGTATCTCATTTTACATAGAAGAAAACCAAAGTCAGAGGTTAAAGTGACATGAATGGGTCTCCGCGTTGCCGGGTCCTTCCCCGCAGAGCATACACTGTATTTCTGACGGGTTGATCGTCTTAGGTGGCCGGTAACCACTCTCGGTGCCACTTGTAGTTAGGCCTCGGCGTAGCATGATGCTGATACCCGGTTCCTCACCCCGCAGGCACCATCCAGGAGGATTACCTGCGCGAGCTGCTCACCACCATGGGCGACCGCTTCACGGACGAGGAGGTGGACGAGCTGTACAGAGAGGCCCCCATCGACAAGAAGGGCAACTTCAACTACATCGAGTTCACGCGCATCCTCAAGCATGGGGCCAAGGACAAGGACGACTGAAAAGAACTCCAAATTCCCTCCAAATGCTCCTTGTTGCCACTTTGGGTATTTCTGAGATTTTCTCTTAGAGTCTGTTGCATGCCTATAGCTTGACAGCTTTCGCCTTTCTTGTTTTGTATTTATTCTCAGCCATTTTGGGGCACATGTACCTTTATAATCAGACTGGAAATGGGACTTTTTGACGTTTTCAGAACAGAAGACAGGGTCATTTAACTTTCCTGTGGTCCTCTTCCCCCCGTAACTGCGGTCTACAGAGTCAATATATTTTTTCAGAGAAAGTTACCCACTCAATTTTTTCTGAACCATAATTAAACTTTATGATAAAATACTTGTTTAAATTTCTTATTTACCAGAGTTGGCTTTTGTGGGTGTTAGTTGCATCCTTCAAAGAAGAGGATGAGGTTTATCCTGGAAAACTACGTGCATCCTGGCCTCCACACTTTGTTTCCCTGACAACCCTAGCTCCTCTCTGCCTGTTCATTTCTTCCTCTCCCAAGGAAATCTTGTTTTCACTGCCCTAAGTAGGGTTACTGCACTTTGTCTTCCAAGTTTTAAAATGATTTCTTGTAGGAGTTGAGTATACGTGATTATTTTAATAGCTATAAGTTCTTAGGTTTGACTCACCTGCTTTATCTGATCTAAGCTTTTGCACATTATTCCATGCCATTTAAAAATAGGTCAGGACACTGAGTGTAATTTTCATTTGTCCTATTTCTTAAAATATTTTAGCTCCAAAGGTTCTGTGGAATGCTTTTTACCAAAAAGGCAGATTTCTGCATTGTATTTCAAACTTTTGGGAAGATAGTGTACTATTCTTGGTGGAGTTTTCTTTACTGCAGCAACCCCCCACCAAAGTCCAAGTGTGTTTATGCAGAGATTCATCTGAGCCCCCCTGTGAATTTTAGACATTCCTGACCTGCCCACAATCCAAACAGCTGAAACTACATGCCTGAGAAAGTGAGATCATTGTTCCAGTCCTAAAAATAACTTCTGCTATTTGCAAAGAGGCAGGACTGCTTCAGGATAGTCTGTGGAGGACACTTTCACTCACCTTAGGCTTCAAAACCAGGCTCCTAATATTCGTGAACTTTAACAGATTGGAAATGGTGGGGGGAAAATTTGGTTAAAAAATTAGCCTGCAAAGAGGAGCAATTGGCTAGTACCCTAATGACGTCTAGTTTTATGCACCTATTAACCAGGCTATCTGTGAAGAAACTATTACCTCATTCAGTAGAGAATTGCTAAAAGCCTGAGTGGCAACCTTTGTTCCACAGGGGAGGGAGCCGGATCCTGCATCTGCTAAACTGGGAGCAGCATGACTGGTAACAACTAGTCTTTGCCCCTTCAAGATTATAATCACAGAACCTGCCCTCATTCTCTGCCTAACTTTCCGGGCTTCCACCATTATGCTAACATTTTGTTGAATTGAGTCTCCATTTCACCTGAGAAAAATCATCACCTCTGGTTTGTTAACAAACTTCCAACGAAGAATAAATAACATTATTTCCATTACAGAAAGAGTACTACTAAAATCACCCCTTGCCGTTTCCCCATTTCCCTTTTGAAGACCTGTGCAAGGAGACAGCCTTCTGTAGGGACAGTACGTGGTCTGCCCTGAGTGAGATTAGCCTCCTGCCTTGGCAGTAGCATTCTCTGCTCAGTAACTGGCCTTTGCCTATGCAGGGATGAGTGCCCATAAAAGTTCAGAGTATCTCCTTCAGTGCTGGATTTGACTTCAAAACCAGTCTAAAAAGTTTGTGTGATGAAAATTACCTTGCAACAAACCGTTTCCAGAGTTCTGGTTATACCAGCAGAGTGGAGGCAGTATCACTTTCACCTGCGAATGATTGTGTTACCATTTGGACTCCAGGACCCAACTTTGAAGTGATCAAGGAACCTATGGCTTAACAATAGGAGTCCTAGACCTAGAAATGGTCATCACTTTACCTGATACCAGTAGATGCTTGGATGCTTACTTTGAAATTCCTGAGCAGACCCAACCTGACAGATGTGTGTGTTCATTAGGAGCTGTTGCTTGATTTCCCTGGTTCCTAGCTTTTTTGTATTTCCTGCCCCCTCTTGTAGAGATTGCAGGAGCTCATCCCACACTGATGAACTTATTGCCCCTTGCTCTTCCAACTTCCAGTTACTTACTCTTCTAAACGTACCTGTGCCTGCTCAGATGGGGGTTAGGCCTTTTTTCCAGTGTTTATCCACATACATTTTACAGTTGTAATGAATTTACAACTTACCTTTTTTAGTTTGGTATTTCTTAGTTTTTTATGTTTTGGCATAGCTGCTGTTCTTGTTTGGGGTATGGTACTTTTGCAGTCAGACCTTTTAATGGATGAAAAATTATCTGGTTTATCATTAATAAATATGCTTTTCTTTGGAGTCTGGAGAGAATATAGCTTAGAATTACTGTTTTGGAACAGTGCTGTCCATTACATTTTTATGGTACTGGAAATGCTCTGCTGTCCATAGGATGCTAGCTGCATGGGGCTGGCTGTTGAGCACCTGAAATGTATCTAATACAAGTGAGGAGGTTAACACAAGGTTGAATAGCCATGTGTGGTTAATAACCATTGTATTAGCACAACTCTAGAAACTTCAGAGGTCAGAACAGAGGGTTGGACGTACAACTCAGCAGCAGAGTGCCTATCCTGCAGGAGGCCCTGGGTTCCATGTCTAACACAACAGAAAAGTATGTGGATAATCAGGGTGACTCGGCTGGTCAGGTGAGGGCTTATCAGTTGCATGGACCGACAGTACCCAGACAGGCTCTGACAAAGACCTGTGAAGCCAAAGTCTGGTGCACGGAAAGACTTGTTTAAACCCTCAAAGGGCAGACTGTGGTTAAGGAAAAGCGTCAATATTTAGAACCAGTGTGATTTCAGATAAGGACCCCAGCATCACCACCCCCTGGATGCTTTCAGGGGTGCAGATTCTCCTTAATCCTACTGAATCCTAGCGCTGGATTTATGTTTAACCGCCCCCTACCCGCCTTCTTTGACCTGGTCCTGTTTAAGAACTACTGTAGTAGCGCTGGTTACCTGGTTTCCTACTTTCTAGGAATTACTGGTTAAAGATTTCTAGATACGAACTCCCTGAAGGAAGAAGTTGGAATTATTTCCTCTTTCCAGCACCCAGCTCGTGTTTAGGCAATATGTGCTCAATAAAGACTGGCTGTTAGGCTGACTTACCTTCCGTTATTTTGAAATAGTGCGATTCTAGATTATTCTGAGGGGAGGGAAACAGCCACAAATAGCATCTGGAAGAAAGCCTGAGTAATGGTGTGACATTTTTGACCAAAAGCATGTATGTACCTGCAGTGTATGCATCTCTTAGTATCTTAGGAAAGCAAAGAATTTGAATAAAACTTTAGTGGTTGAAAGGGGAAGGAAACAGTCACCGCTGTGTCCCAGTGAGGCCACAAACCTTATAATCGGGAGGTAGGGAAGGAGGAGTAGTTACACAACTTGACAACGGCTGGGTGCAGTTTTCAGAGTGGTATCCAGGGCCGGCAGGAATGTGCCCGGCCGCGCCCTCCTCCCTTCGTGTACTGCGGGGCACCTGCTCTAAAAGACGAGTTGTTGATCGGAAATTCGCACGTAACCGGGCTACTTCTGCTAATCCTGGCAGCCCCGGGCGGGCCGCTTCCGGCGCGGAGGACCCACCGCCCGCTCCGCTGTCCGCGCGCCGTCCCCGCCCCGCCGC